TTTTGTGCAAAGCGTTTTCCTGAAAGGGATGAAAAAATGGAGGTTGGCATGTAAGTCCCAAATAAGGATAACAGAATTACGCAGGGACACAATGATGTTACCAACGTGATTGATCTTTCCTGAGCTAAACTGCATGGATTTTTCAAGAGCTGTGAGTTAGAAAACCCATATATGGTAGTGAAAGATGAAAATTGTAAAGTTGTGTATAATTAAAGCCATTCACTGACAATCAAAATCTGTTAACATCACTTTCTCTCTGAGCTCTGCAAATGAACATCTTGAAAAATGTGTTGCAGAAAAGAGAGAGTTTAGCATGCAAAAGTTAGAACCTCTTAGATTGCTATAGGGAGCTTCTAAATTTTATCCTATGCAGTAAGCAAGTGATGTTTCCACACCAGGAATTCGTGACTTCTGTAATGCTTTGTTCTTTTGAAGTGTAAAAATCATTTGTATTCATAGAAGCAAGCCTTTTATTATATAACCTAACACTACTGACCACAGAAACTGGGACCAGAAGAAGAGTGATAGTTTGCATATGACTAGTCTGTGCACTGGGACTGTAAAGCTTGTTTCAGATAATTAATCTGTGGCATTCCTCTTTATCTGTCTTATAAAAGACTGTATCTTATTTATTTGTTGCTTTAAACTGTGCAAAATGACTCTGAGAGGTGATTGATTTCCGGTAGTTTATCCTTTTTCCTAAGACAGAAATAGTGAAAGATATAGGACACAATGAACAAAATGTGATCTCCTCAGAGGCCTCCTGACCCCTGATGTCAGATACTGGCTTAGCATGGCTTTCAGTGCTCCTGTAACCTCCTCATGCACAACCGGGAGCAGCAGTTGATGGAACAGAAGGTTGTGCTGCCATTCAGCACAAGGCTGCAGAAATGGGCAAACAGAAATAACCCCTGACACTGGGATGGGCTGAGGGCTGGCCATCTAGAAATCATCTTTGCAGAAAGAGACCCGGAGGCCCTGGAGGACAAGAAGTCGAACAGGAGCCAACAGTGTGCCCTGGTCACCCACTGGCATTCTGGGCTGCGATTAGGAAGAGCCTGAGCCAGCAGGCTGAGGGAGGTGGTCCTTCCCCTCCACTCAGCACTGGTGAGACACATCTGTGTGCTGTGCCCAGTTCTGGGCTACCGCTACAGGGAAGGCATGGGCACACTGGAGCTTCTTATGGCTCTTGCTCTTTTTATGGGTATAATTTTACTGTTAAAAACTATTTCTATGAAAACTACACCTTCTTCTTCCACTGCACCGTTCATTCATTTATCCAGTACTACTTTATTCCCTTTCACGTAACATAGCTGCATGGAACTGACACATGCCAGAGGGAGTTGCATCCTGTAGCTGGATTCACTGTTGTGTCAGGGCTGTGGATGCAAGTGGAGAACCACAGTGTTGACATGGAAGGCTCAAGCTGTGGGTATTGCAGGCGCTGTCGGTGTCTAACTTAACTTCAAGGGTTTTGTAGGGATGGTGAAACCTGAAAATGGGGGAAAAAAATGAGTACAGCTCTTAATGCCAGGTTTGGCTGATTGCTTAGCAGTTAAATAAAGAAAACATTATTACTCAGACTGTGTTTGCTTCGCAGTGATTTCAAAGAGCGCTACTCCTTAAGTTCTGCACACTGATACATTTATTGTTACCCGCTTTTCATTGTAGGACATTGTCTCAAATGCACTGACTTGTACAGGGGTTGCAGCTCTCAGAAGTTATGTTCTGTAATATTTTATGCCCAAGAATTAGTGAAGGATATCTTGCATTGTTTAATTTCTTTCAGAAGCGTAGACTCACTGGACAAGATACTGATGCAGTAGGACAGTATTTTGTTGCATATTTTATGTTCTGGGAAGGGATATTTATATCTACTCTTTGGCCCAGATTCTGGAACAACTGCCAGTTTCACAAACAGCAATGATTAATGTGCTAAAAAGGGAATAGAACTGCGTAGAACTGAAGTTCCCTATGGAATGTATATATACTGTGTGTGTGTGTGTATACATACATACATACATATGTTTTGGTGAAGTGGAGAAATGAGGCAGTGATAATTCTGATACTGCTTTTTGTGCTCTCAAAGACTTCTCTTTTTTTTATCAGTATTTTTACCAGTATTGTGTACTTTAATGTTTTCATGCTATGCATTTTTTTTCCTGTTCAGTTTCTCTTTTCAAAACCCATAGAACTGAGGTTTGCAGTTTGTTTTTCCCATAGTTTAACATAGTAATGTTATTTTTCCCCTACGTAAATAACGTCACAGAAGTAGAAAAAAACCCCATCTGTTTCAGAAGAAAATCAAAGCTGACCAAAATAAATTCTGTAATTTGAGTTGATTGCTGACAGGCAGTGGTCTGTCAGCATTTTCCATCCCTCTGTCTCCACCACCTTCTGTTGCAGTGGCAGTGTGCCTGTGGGCAGTGTATCAATGATTTAGTCTTTATTGCTGCAAAGGAATCTGTTTCTTAATGTAAGGGCTGAGAATCCAGGCACTTCCATAAAATTATTTTATTAAATAAGGCAAAAGAAAGTGTTCTGCATTCTTGGTACTACCAGCTCAGAATTCAAGACTCAGTTCATGGAGGACCTTTTCTGAAGCTCACTAATGTCCCTGTAAACATTACCGTTGACTTTACTTAGTGTCTGACTAAAAAAACCAAAGAATAACTGCTTGTGCCTTATTGTTGGAAATCTCCCTGTTAAAGGCATATTTCATTGCTTCAGAGTTCCTTCATTTCTTGAACAAGATAAGAATAAGAAATATTCATTTTTATGGTTATAATATACCTCACATCTGCCCTTCTTCTTAGAATTATGAACAGATTGTTCTCTAATTGATTAAATAGAGAAATTCAGGACTAGAGCATGTTAGGTGAGGTGTTTATTATCATCAGTACATCTTCATTTACATACATGAAGTGCTAATGCTGAATAGTTTAAAACTCTGTGTTTCAGATAACTGGAATTTTTAAAGAATCTGCTTGCCTTTGGTAGAGATGTTTTGGATAACCAAGTTTGTATGGTGGACCAAAACAGGCACTAGTGTAGTGTTGCTGGCAGTTAAAATGTATATCTCATGGTTTGACAGAGTTCTGTCTGGAAGATAATAGGGCCTTGGGTTAGGAAGGCACATTAAAAAATGGAAAAAAGAAAATAAATTCGTCAACACTGTATTGTTTTGGTTAAAGTGTCATTGCAAACCACATAGAGGTTTTTTTTTTAAGGCCTGTGGCATGGTTTACCGGCTGTATGTTCAGCATTCCTCTTTATATAGCTTTGAGAAAAACCCAAAACCATGGGGAAGATACAGCTTTGTTTACTCCAAAAGCAACGAAGAATAAATATGCATGGTTTAAGATTTTACTGCCTGTGTGCCTGACTTAATGGTGTATGCAGTTTATGTGCCATCACGTTGATTCCACACGAAAAGTTAAGCCTGGGGCTATTACAAGCTTGAGAATCACAGGTGTTAAGAGAGCACTCCTGTCCCTTCTTGTTGTCATTGAGTTAATTATGAAACTGTTCTGGCCTGTCATGATGTTGAGGTGTTCAGACCACAGCTTTCTAAAAATTCTCAAAGTCACCCATGCCTGGAGGCATAAAAATGTCAGTAGCTTTCCATGGCCACTTCTTGACTCTGCAGAGCTCTTTGAGGTTTTGGGCAGAGTGTGTAAGTTACTGTTGAGCAACCACAGAAGCCCAGCATATGTCTGGTAATGCTCTGAGTGTCAGCTTGGTGGGATGTGATGTACAGATTGCAGTAACCCTGATTCAGTGGAGTCACCGTGTACACACTGAGATGAGCAGTCAGAATGAAAAGGGAGAAGAGAAGCTTTAAGTGTAAGTTTATATTTTTAAGATGCAAGTAAGAAAGCTGCATTGTTTGTTATTCCTCCATAAATAGCATATGGATTTCTGAAATGTAGGTGACAGTTCTGTAATCTTATGTGGGAGTTCCTACCAAAGGGTAAAGGAATGTGCTTGAATGGGGAGGAGCTTCATGCACAAAGCCACAGTAGGCTCGGTTATTAGTGAAGAATTTTAAAATTGCAGAATGCATTCAAATGTATACAACAAAACAGGAATTTATATTTTTTTGAGTAAAGAACGTCCAGTACCACTGGAAAAAATTAGGATGTTGCATTTGAGGTCACAGGTAAAATTGTCTTGTTAAGAAATAGCTGCCAAAATGCATTGGTATAACGTTACAATGAACGTTCCGAAGAACTTCCTGTACAAAAGAATTTAGCTGGATTTATGTCAGCTTTTTCTGTGTCATTGTAACTAACCTTTGTGCCTCTTCAAGCAGCTTCTCACTCTGATTTTCTTTCATTCATACAGCTTTCTGGGTGTCTGTCTGAATACAGACCGGTAAATAAAAAAGGTCCTAAGGCCCATGTTTGCTACTGTTAGGACAAAAATCTTGATTTCAGAGGGGAAAATACTGATGTTGCTAAGCTGCTCTGCAGATACCGTTTGTTTTTCTGTTCTCTTTTGAATGTATTTTGCTGAACCTCTCATTTCTAGCTCTGGCTTACCAAGTGACAGTTCTGCACTTTGGGCCTCTCACTTGTTAACTCTAGTTACAATTCCACGCTTCCTAGCTAGGGAATGAATGCTGGATTTTAACATCACAGAGCAGGACTGGTGTATAAAACAGTGTGGTAACTCTGTGATGAAGTTTCTATCAGCTGTACACTCCAAACAGCCTCTCTGTTGGGTTAGGGAAGTTTGGGAATTTAATACTGTGCCTTGGCAGGTCACCTCTTACAGGAAACCATATATTTACTTTGGCTGTGTGTCTGTCTGCTCCCTCTGCATAAATTGATCTAGCAACTGTAAAAGAGAAGCCATTTATCTTTTGCCAGTTAGTTTGATTTATTTATTTAGTAAAAGTAATTTTTTGTGTCTGGACCTCTTGAAACAGAGAACCAAGAAAGCTGCTATTATAAATACTACCTGCTGAAGTTATTTTTTTTCCTTCCCTTTTTCAGATGAGAACTCTCCAGCCAATTTCTGGGATTCCAAGAATCGGGGAGTGACTGGCACGCAGAAAGGACAAATCGTATGGCGAATTGAACCTGGCCCCTACTTCATGGAATGTGAGTACCTATTTATCCAGTGTGTATCCCAAGGAAAAAGTGCCTTTGTGTCAAGGCAAGTCAACAGCATGGCATTTGATATCCATTTCATCAGTCCCTCTGATAAACTAAGGGAGTTGATTGTGTTGCCCTGAGGAGCAGCATTTTCCCATGTTTTCTTTTCTCAACATTATAAACATGGAGTTGATCTTAGATTACATTGTACTCTAGGGGTGTTCTGAGTATGTTGCAGTTTAAGGGAGGAAGAAATGGCCTTGTGCAGTGTCAGATAGTATATACAGAGTGAAAGCTGAAGTCTCTTCCCAAGATAGCTTCAAGTTTCCACTGGACAAATATTAATGGTAAACTCATGTGGAGGAAAAGGTAATAATGTAGTAGTGCTTGCTAATGTTTGGTGGTATGAAGGGTAGATGTGTCACTAGGAAGTGCCAACCTCCTGTTCAGTTGCATCAGAATTTCTCAGCTGAAGATTTGTTGCGCTGGGAAATCCACTGGGCAGTTTGGAAATACTGAGAGTCCTCTGTATGGCTAAAATAAAAAGTCTTCAGTTGGACTCTGTAAGGACTATCAGTAACCAAGCTTCAAATCAGAGAGCTTTGCCACTCCCTTAGACAGCTAGGATTTATAGGAAGCTAAGCTACTCTCTTCTGTGCTATTTTTTTTTGTTGTTTTTTCCTTTTTGATGAAACAAAGCTATCTTACCATTTGAAGTATATGATCCCCTAAAGAAACCGAGATTCAAATCCTAGGATGTTGTATCAGAGCTTGCTGGAAACTCTGATGTGCCAAGCATCAAAGTGGCAATCAGTCCCAAAAGAGCTGTGAGTTGCTCTAACCACCTGTTTAGCCTCACAGTAACAAATCTTCCTGCACAAGTTAAAAAAAAAATAAAAATACTCCCACTCTTCACTGTATGCTGCAGTGCTGCTAACTGTAGGTCTTGGCAGAAATTTTTATTCTAATTGACTGATATAACAGCAATACATGTATTTCAAGAGGTGTTGTATACTCCGTACTAAAAATAATTATTAAAGCTTCCTATTTCTAGAACTCATCACTGAATATTGCCAAGTACTCTATGTGTTACACAACGCACTTTATAATAAAGAAAACCACTTTAGTAGGATAAAATTTAATTCCATTTCAGGAGTTCATTACAGGAAAAACTGATTGAACTGAAGATAATGATCAAGAAAATAATAATTAACTGTCCTCTGCCAAAGACAGTGGTATATTAAAGCAGATTAAAATGTCTGTTAGTAAAATTCATTGCCTCATCTTTCTTGTACATATAATCCATCAGTACTGTTGCCAGTAGGGGCAGTTTGACTTCAAGGATGTTCATATCTTTAAGCTGGTTATGCGTTATGTGTTGCTCCATTATGTATTGGGATGAGACTCTCGAACAACATTTTCAGTTCATGTGAGTAAACCAAACTAATGCTTCAAGGACTAATAGTTTGGACTTAAAATCAGCTGCAAATGACTTTGCACTTTGCAACTGACTGCACCTCACAATCAGCTGATAGAAGGAGTGCAGGATAGATGTTCTTTGATCATGGTTATCTTCTCTAGGGAGCAGTTCTGCTGCCATACAATGGACAAGAGACAAGCAATTATGCAGCAGCTGAGAACTGTAAAAAGGAATGTTTGTGAGCATATGTTGCTATTGCACATAGTATGGAAGATAAATATGTCACCAGTGACACTTGTATTTCTAGTGAGGGGCCAAAAATTGCACTGAAACACTTATCTGAGTTTCTGATTCCACTTTTTAAACTAGAGGGCTCCACAGATTTGTGACTGTGTCTGCTCTGCAACCCTTTTTCTTGTAGCTTACAGGTGGTGAAGCAACTCTGGTGCAATTACAGGCAGCTGCTATTTTGGTTTTTCCCTTTTTTCTTTTTTATTCCTGAGATCACTAAATCCCAGCTCAGGCAGACACAGCAGGTGGCTGTGCAGTTCAGGTACAGCCACACTGTTACTGCACCAGGCTGGGGGTGGGAAGAGCTGTGCTGTCAGGGTTCTCACCATGCTCTGCAGACACTGTCACTGCCCAGCCTGTGCCAGCCACAGAGACAAACTTAGCTCCCCTGTTGGCCTCTTTCTTCTGTTGTGGTGCAGGTATAATTTGTCACTCAGTATAGCACTGCATGTTATGCTACTGTCATAGCAAGAGGGAGAAACAAAAGCAGAGGCTAACATTCCCGGTAAATATGTGCCAGATTATTGAGAATTAGGTATTTCTGCTTTAATCTGCCATTATTTTCCAAGTTTGGGAAAGAGCTCTAAAACTGTAGATTTCTTGTTTAGAAATATCTTTCCTGAGAGGCAGAATATGTCAGATACAGGTCATGGGGTTTGTCATATTTATTCCTCACAGTAATGACATGCAGCAGACCATTAGCAATGTCCCTGAATTTTTGAAGCAGCAGCTCCAGTAAGAGGCATGGACAAAATGGGTAAATGGATCGATCTAAACTCATCTGGAGACTAATCACAGCATAGTAATATTGGTTGCATCCAACCTTCTGCTCTCAAACTGGGGCCAACACTTGACCTGCCTGGTCAAGTGTGGTTTATGAAGCACATTACTGAAAACCCTCAAGGACAGAGATTTTGCAGTTTCTGTAGGTAATCTTTTCCAGTGCTGCAGTATTGTCCCAGCTAAAAAGATTTCTCTGGCATCCAATATGAATGGCTATAGCTTAAATTTGGGCTATTGTCCCTTTTAAAATCTCTGATAGAACTGGAAAGACATGAGGTAGTAACATTTGCTTTGCCTCAACCTAGTCTTCACCAAACTAAACAATGGCAGCTCCTTTAGCCTCTTCTCACAGGTCACATTTTCTCCATCCCAGTCATCTTTGTAGCCCTTTGCTGTCCACTCTTCATTTGCTCTGTGCTCCTGAACCAAGGGACCCAAAACTAGACACAGTGTTCCTCACCAGTACCAAGTAGAGGGGGACAGTAACTTCTGTTTCTCCGCTGGTCACACACCTTTTAATGTATCCTGTGAGGTGGTTTGTTTTATTTGTGGTGAGAGCATGTGCTGGCTCATATTAACTTGGTAGCCATCCTGAGCCCAGTTCCTTTTCAGCAGGGCTGCAGCTTTGCCAGTCTGTTCAGAGCTGTGGTGATGCCTGGGATTGCTCCACCCCTGGAGCAGACACTTGCAAGTGTCGCTCTTGAATTTGGTGACATCGCTGTTGACCCATTCTCTACCTATTGCTCACTCTCTGAGGTATGGAGAAGTTCCAGGAGGCTGATGGAAAGCTGAGTATGGAACCAAGGCAGAGGTGGATTCCTGTCCCTACAGGGTTTTCTGGCTTGGAGCTGTTTAATGTTTGGAGCATGGACTGTACTTAATTGCCACCACCTATACACTACAGTGATTGCAGGTTCCCTGCCCTACCCCTACACAAGGAGAGATGAAGAATGTGTGCTGCAAGCCCCAGAAGCATTGAACCAGCTCTGGCAATAAGGACTGATGATGCTTGTTAACAGAATTATGCTAAACAGCTGCTAAGTAACTACAATAATCCTTTAGGATTTACAGTCGAAATTGGCCTAAAGTTGTCGCATCTCTTTGGCAAGAATGGGAATTTAAGTTATTAATGTTGGATGATGAGTTGTGCTCAGTCAGCGTGCACAGCGTGCACTTATCCCAAAGACTTTGGACGTGGTTTTTCTCTAGCAGTGTCAGAGCTTAGGGACATTACTTATCTTTTTACCAGTAACATCTCTGGAGGGCGAAATGCAGAGGATTATAGCATCGCTAACAAGCCATATGCAAACAAATCTCATGCAGAAGGAGCATTTCCATTTTAATTGCATTAATGTTAATCAGTGGGAGTCAGCTGGGTTAGGCCTAAGATTCCTTCTGCAAATGCCTTCTGCAAAAAGATTCGTATCTTTTAAGAAAAACATCTTATGCCTTAATTTGGGAAGCTGTTTTTCCATCAGCGTAGTTGTAAATTTATTTATAGTTTCACCAAGGTCTGTCAAATTTTTGCTTATGTTTAAAGGTAGGCCTTGAATAGGCATTTTTCTGAATATTGTGTTACCGTGTGTCCTCAGTACTGTAACTCAATGTTAAGGTCATTTAATTTATTCCTCCTAAAACCCCTCCCTGTGGATTCAGCATCTTCTGGTTTTTTTTCAAGAAAGTAACAGGTAATGGCATAGTTTGAGATCTGCTCTATTCAGATCAAACAACCTGCAGAAAGAAGGGTGGGGTAAAGTCTCATCTTCATACTAAAAACAGACATTAATTCCCCTCAAAGCATCCAAAATTAGCAAAACAGGGATGATCAAAGGACACTCTACTTGCTTTAGACAAAAATCAACACAAAAATTCTGTAGGATCTACCCTGAGAAGGGAAAATCAAAGGAATCAACAGTGGAGTAATGAGAAATGAACTTAATGTATTCCAGAAAAATAAGCAGCCTCTGAGGGGAGTGGCTGAGGAAAGGGAGGGGGGGAGATTATTCAGAGGAGAAGGAGAACACTTGCAAAATACCAAGTCCAGTTCACCATCGCAAACAGCTGGTGTCCTTAAGCTGTCACCTCGAGACAAAGTGAGTGGCTCTGAACTGCAGGTGCTCCTCTTCTCCCTGGGGAAGGAGAAGTGCTATGTAGGCATGAAAGGGAACTCAGTCATTTTAGAGATTCAGGAAGGTGAATTTGAGAATAAATGTGCCTTATATGCTCTTTCCTTACACAGTAGAGGTGGCTTTCAAACATCCTGCTCTGAGGCTTGCTAAAATGTGAGGCAAAGAAAACAATGACTCACTAGATGGCTCCCTCAAGTTTTTGCCCTGTAAACTACAGAAGGATTGCTAAACACAGCTCTAGAGTTTTCATCCTTCTCCTGTAAAAAGACAGAGGTTCAAGGTTCAATTATTCTGAACAGGTGGCAATAGTGTGGAAGTGCAACACAGTTTAAAGCTTTTGCATTTAGTATGATCATCTGGTATTTAGCATGGCATCAGGCCAT